GTTTCTGTTTCCGATTCTGTTTTATAAATATTAAAGGTAATAGTTATATAAAAATGAAGCAGCCATTATATACTCCCTGTCCTTGTTTTTTATTTTACCAGCAAAACATTTTATAAAATATAAATAGGTACATAGATACTTAATTAAGTATCTACCCATTTATATTTGATTAACATTATGTTCAAAAAGAAATAAATTCCGGGTAAATTGTAAATGGCATTAAATATTTTTCTCCAGAGGTCAAAAATATAACTTCCCGATCTGATTGTTGGAGAAAATTGTTTCATTTTATCGGTAGACTTACCTCGCCTCTTCAGATATTATTGCAATTTTGTACATTTTGAATTAAAGTCCAACAAAAGGCAAGTGGTGCCGGTGAAAGAATTTCCACTTCCCAATATCGTCCCATGTGTATCATAAAAGGTGACAAAGAGAAACTGAAAGAGGCGATGGGCAGCAGCATCTTCCTGATAACATCTCAAAATAATAAAAAACTGTGGTTGACAACCCGCTGACCAAGCGATGGTAAATATCCCCCCTATGAGGCAATCTATAGGGAGGCCCATGTTGAGCAGTGGATTTTTTTTATAGGCTGTAATAGATTATGGATAATGGAAAAGACAGGTGCAGCTTATTCCCGGTAACATGTTATTTGAATACTTTTAGTTATTTTAAAACTATCATGGTAAAAATTTAGTTAATTTTTAATAAAATAGTTTAGTGCACAAAAGTTATTCAGTTCTGTGCACTAAACTATTTTTTTAGTCTTTAAACCGGTTTCTGGACAAAAATTTTTCGATAGCTCTTTTAAGTAAAATGTACATCACTAGCCAACTCACACAATAATAAATCAAAATTGGTCACGCGTTTTCGGGCTGTCAGGTCGTCTATACGCCAGTATTATATCTATGGCCAGTATATCCTAAGTCTATGTGCCAAAGCATATTATGTCAATTTTAGTTCCCGGTACGGACAATGACCGTATGTACCGGGATTCAAATCAGCATAAGCATTTTGTATGACGTAGCCAGTCCCACAGAACACTAATACCCTTAGGCGGGAAGAATGTCAACTTCAAACAAAGAAAATGGCACCAATAATGCACGCCATCTCTGTCGTGCCCCCTAAAACTTTTTGCGCGGGAATTTTGACACGTGATTTTTTTTTAGTTGTCGTCTTGGTTGTTTCGTTTCAAAAATGGCTTAAGAATGTAAAATACCATATAGATAGATATAGCTTGTAGTTTTTCGTTTCAATGATATATATTGCTAAATTAAAACGAAAACAAAAGCACAAAGTTATTTGTAAATTATGGTACTTTACATTCATAAACCACTTTTGAAACGATTAGCAATCATTTTAATATAAAAAAGGAACTATTTTTCAAATAAAAGTGGTTTTTGAAATACATATTTTTTATTTACATTACATACATTGGTACATAGAAAAACCGTTGGTACATTGATGGACGTAAGTGACGGAGTAATTAACTAATTTTTAACATGGCATATGTAACATGACATTTAAGCAAAATGGAAAGTAAAAGTACATTGGTTTTATATAAAAAAGATTAGACAATCTAATATAAACACTTTTTTCTAACAAGAAAACATTATTTACATTCACATTCTACAAACAAGGCAATAGCTTTGCAATATTATGTCTAAACTCCAATAACCTGATTATATTATAGATGCCACCAATAATATTACATTTGTAGAAATTATTTTCGTTATGTTATTGTTATTGACTGCATTAAAAACTAATAAGTCAACATTTTCATGTCATTAAGTAGCACTACCTGCTGCAAATCCATCCACGAAAAACAAAAAGGATAAAGATATGTTGATAAAAATGAAATATCATCTGAGAAAAATTAACAAGCTTCAAAAAACTGTAAAGCATCTAAAGAATGAAGCATTTCTCAAAGTATTGAGCAAAAATGATTCCGTAAATGAAATATTAAAATGTAAAATATCCCCCTCTTTTTCAAACTGCTCTTCAAAGAAAAACTGATATCCTGCAGAATAAATAAGATGTTACATGGATATATACGTAATTAACTAATTTTTAACTTTATGCATGTAAACAGTTCTGAACAGCTCTTAACTAAATATCGATTTAATAGTTAAGTAGTTATTATTATTTTTCGATAATACAGGTAGATGTCTAAGTGTCACAGCATTTACTTGCTAAATTCTATAAAAAATACAAATGTATGTGTTATCCATATCCCACAGTAAACTTAAAAGTTAGTTGCATAGCAATACGATTGTTTGTAGAGTGACTAATAAACTATCCGACATTAAACGATAAAAAGACTGTAAGGTATGATTCGCACCAGTAAAGTGATAGTTTCGAAAATACTATATTCGAAATCCAAAAGTGGCTCTATATGGCAAATATTTAAAAAAATAACTTAAATTTAAATCCTACCTGCCTCGCGGAAGCAAGGAATATCTGACCCACTCCGACTAAAACTCTCAGATGTTTCATCTTCACCACTTATCGGCAGGACTACGGGTACACTTTTACACACATCCGTAGCCTCATCAGCGCTAGTCACTCCTTGGCAGCCTCTCTCGAGAGAGGACAAATTCTCCCTCTCCTTTTATCTCCTTATATAATGTCACCACTGAAGTGATTATGACTGTACATACAGAAAAAGTAGTTCCATGTAATATCTTATTTATTCTGCAGGATATCAATTTTTCTTTTAAGAGCAGATGCAGAGTACTCTTCTGCAAATTGCCGATTTTTCAAAATACAAAATCTCTTCATACAAATGTGAAATACGCTATTAAATAAGTAATCTATATTCATATCTTTATGTTCTGGACATTTATCGAGAAACGCCCAATTTATTGAGTTTTTGAACAAAACTTTAATTGTCCCTTTTAATTTTTTTTTATATGCTTCTGCCTCTAAAAATCATAAATCATCGTAGCACTACTTTCAATACAGTTAATGAGGTTTTTAGAGGCGTATTTAAGGGACTTTTTTAGATCACTATATTCTTTAAAGTCAATAAAAGTATGTGATCTCTCTTGTGTCTCAGATACAAAAATTTTTTTACAAATTTCACATTTGTTGAGATTATTTTTTACTATAAACCCACAGACATAGGCACATGCTTGTATTTCGCCACTGCTTTCTTCCAAGCTACATTCAAATGTAGAATTTACACTTTCTTCTAACTCATCGGTTAAAATTGTGGCATAAGCAGTGTGTGTGTCTGTGGGTGGAGACAATAAAGATTTAAAATTTGTCAATATAACTTGATTTTGGTCTTCTTCACAATTTCCTGTCCCAATAAAAGATAAGTTGCTAAGGACAGCCGTTTTAAGACCCGCAACAAACTGCCCAGCAGTGGGATTTGAATTGCAGCCGCAATTGGCCCGAATGCATCCAAAAAGATTTTCTAACGGGTCCTGCTGGAGCCTTCTTGTTTCCAAACTTTTTATTGATTTATGTTTAGAACTGAGATTTCTTCAAATTCGTTCTATTCCATTGATGGACCATATCCAACCTTCTTGGGATGGAGAAGCTCGTTTGCATCCCAAAAACGTCAATTCTTTAAAAAAATTCTTCATTAAAGTGAAATGTGTGAGATGTGGTGTATTATTTGTCATGTTTGTCGAATATGGTTTCCCCCTTCTTAGGTCTGGTGTGCATGCGTTGACACAATCAAACAGCTTGTCCATATTTGCAATAACATTAGCTGTAGTGACAGCCTCTGAAGAGAGTTCCCCTGTAAACAACACATAATTTAAGATCTTACTATTAGGATTAAAGAAACATGATTTAAAGTATGTTACAAGACAACTCAAAAATAATATCACATATCAGTATCACACAATAAACAATAATTTGTACTTGGGAGAGCCTAGTTCCTTTTTAAGTTAATAATTATTTTAATGGGTGGACATATGTTTAAATATTATACTTTAAATTATAAATTTAATTTACCTTGTGAAATTTTAGCATACATTCCTGCAGCAACTGAGTGGCTTAACACTTGTGCAGCTAGCTTCACCTTCATCTTCTGCTTCGTATTTGGATTTAAATGTTCTTGTTTTAAGCAAGGTGCAAACACAAAATTGGGATTGGTGTTATCTGTTTCATAAAACTCCTTTATATGGCTCCATTTAGCAACACCTGTAAAAAAAATTTGTGTAAATATCCAGTAAATTGGAAATATGTATAATATTATGATTGTAATAAAACAAAATATCTTACCAAATCCAATTTGATCATTTGATGTTATATTTGTTGGACATTTAATGTCATATTTTAAAAACATATTTCTAAAGCATTTGAGCAAATGCGGAGTATCAAAAATGGTAACCACTTCTCGATTATTTAGCAGAATATATGGCTGTTCTACAGATGCTCCCAAGATACTTAAAGCTCTCTTATTCACACCATCCATATCACACACCGTAGCTGAAATATTAATTCCAGCATCAAAACAATGTTGCAGGACCTAGAATGATAAAAGGGTAAATTAATATGGTAAAATAGTACTACTACATATATTGACATAATAACAAATAAAAGACCATAATGCTCACCTCCTTAGAATAATAAAAGTAATTGGTTGTTTCAGCTTTTTACGGATTCCGCCAATCATGAACACGAGGGCATGTGTTGCCATTTGTGGTGACCTGACCTGCAGTGCATGGTCTTGTTAACCCTCAATTATGTCCTCCTTTTTGTTGTAAAACAAATTCTTTTTTATTGACATCTCATCAAACATAAGGATATACTCATTGTCTAAGGGAGTCTGTTGCTTTATTGCTTTTTTTCAAAACATTAAAAATTTGGTCATTAATACCAACTTTCATGTGAAACTTGCTTAATAACGCTTTTAATGAACTAGGTGTTGGCAGGCAAATCATCCTTCTTAATAATTTGTAGCACCTAGGTGACCTTTTATACAGTTTTAGTGCTATTACTTTGGAGTCCATGTTCCATCTTCGACCTTATGATTTTTTTTTATAGTTTTGCAATTCTCCTTGCAAAAATAATGCAAAAGAGGGGGATATTTTACATTTTAATATTTCATTTACGGAATCATTTTTGCTCAATACTTTGAGAAATGCTTCATTCTTTAGATGCTTTACAGTTTTTTGAAGCCTGTTAATTTTTCTCAGATGATATTTCATTTTTATCAACATATCTTTATCCTTTTTGTTTTTCGTGGATGGATTTGCAGCAGCAACAGGGTTGATATTCTCAGTTACTTGAGGAATATCACTAGTTATGTCAGGAATGGTTTTATAATTTACATTCTCACACAAGGGTTGTATAAATTTTGACGGACCCGCAACAGGCTCAAATACATTTGAAACAGTTATAGTCTTCTGAATATTTTCAGACAGTGGTTGTTTATTAGTTGATGGACCTGCAATATGTTGAATGACATTCCTTTGTTCCAAATTAAGGTCAGCTAATGTGATCTGAAAATTAGAGATTATCAAATCATTATTTATATCATGTATCCCAGCATTGGTCAACCAATCTCTAAATTTCAAACAGCCTTATAAATTTATAAACATTAAATACAACTTGTTTTTTTTAATGAATGTTGCTTTAACACCATTACCACCACCATCCTATTTTTAAGACACTATTTTAACAATTTCTTTTATTTGTAAATATATTCTGTAAGTAACTAAATTATAATCATGTCATTTAAACAACATTGACAGCTCGCGGAGCAGTGGCTAGCATTGAGTTGCAGCATTAAAGGTCACAGGTTCGAATGCTACACGGAATAAGTATTTGTAAGGGGGTCAATTTAAAATTGGTTGCAGATAAAGTCGTCCCTGAGCAAAAATATTTTCTTCTCGGTGATATTAATTAAATTGTTATAATGTTATTGAATTTGTCAAATATGGGGCGAATTACTAAGCTTATTCTCAAGAAAAATGAATTTTATTATTGATTTATCACCACTTTTATCAAGTAACAGAGTGGTCATTCTTGGTAACATAGTTGTTTTCCATACAAAAAAATTCTGTCCCATATGCAGTGCATCATGCGAAAATCATAATATCTTTTTATCAATTCAATGTAATTGTTATGTTTGAAAGCTAGTGTAATAAAGCAATCATAACACATTTAAAAACATACTTCATCCATATTAAATAAATTAATTGAAGCTTGTACGATTATTTTAAATTTCTACTGTTCTATCCGTACGGTTTGCGGCGGTTGAGGCGCGGGTACACGATTCATTTATCCGATGGCTGCGGTGTGAGGCTCGTGGTTTTATTCTGTGTGTACTCTGTTACCGGTGTTTTCGCGTAAGTATTCAGATATTTGCGTATAGTTTTATATTATTGAAGTAGCTCTAGTGTAAGATATATCAAATGTGCTTTTCTTTGTACATAATAAACTTTCATTTCTAAAAAAAATGTCACTAAAGTTAAATTTACCATTCTGTTACTGCACAACTATGTTACTAGCTACTGGTAACAGAGTTGTAGAGAGGTAAAAGAGTTGTTATTACTAAGCTGTTACAAGCCATCGTTGGCGTCTGTATATCCATATCTCTGCTTCTATGTTAGTAGGAATCAATATTATATAATAGCTATCTAATAAATTACATCATTTGTTCTAGATAATACATAGTACTTTGCTATGGCTCTCACTGCTGCTGAAAAGCAGCGGCGCTATAAAGAAAAGTGCAAATAAAACCCTGAAGAGGTAGCGGAAACTAAGAAGAAGGATTTAGAGAGATATCATAAAAAGAAACGCTTAATAAAAGACATGACTCAACTCAGTATAGAAACTACAGATCTTGTATAGATGGATTGACAGAAGAAAAAATAGCGCTACACGTAGATTTCAGTGAAAATTACAATTGCAAGTTCCATGAAGTGATATAATCACACCACTTTCGTGATACTCGTAACCAGGTATCCTTACATACTGGCGTATTGTATAAGCGAAGCTTGGAAAATCGAAACATAGAGGTGAAGTCTTTTTGTACAGTATCAGGTAACCTCTCACACGGCCCTTCGGCAATCTGGAGTCACCTTCATCCTATACTTTCCTCAATTCAAGACCAATCCCCTAAGATAAAAGTGATACACATATTTTCAGATGACCCGCTACTCAGTACCGCCAGAATCAAAACTTCTGCTTAATATGGACAAAACTTTTTTCAAAGTACAACCTCACCAAGCCTACATGGAATTTTTTCGAGTCGGGACACGGCAAAGGAGCAGCTGTTGGTGTTGGTGGCTTTCTAAAACGGACTGCTGACCAGCTTGTTGCTGTTGGGAAAGACATTCTGATAGCGTCTTCGTTCTATCAGTCTCTGAAAGATAGTAGTAGAGTTAAGGTCAATCTTGAACTGATTATGATATTGAAAGAATCACAAATGAAATTCCAGCAGAAATTGTTCCTTTCAATGGTATAATGAAAGTACATCAAGTGTACTACTAGTGTATTACAGAAGAAGTGGGAGCGCTGAAATATCGAGAGTTGAGCTGTTTCTGCTAGCTTGGTTTCTCCTCATGAATGAATCCAAAAAACTATTGTCTACTAAAGGATACAGTCGAAGAATCAAAGGAGTAATTCTACTAATCTAGCGGATATAAGTAATTTGATTGAACAGAAAAGGAAATCTTTTTACAATGTAATTTACAGTTCGAGTTCGGAATCAGATGATGATAATCCTTTGCTACGATTAAAAGATAAGGCATCAGATCAACCCTGCTTGTCTAAAGAAAAAAATGATGAGAATCACTTGATTCATAAAGAAAATATTCATCCAAGTAAAATCAAAGAAGGAGGCTAGGTCTTAGTTAAAGTTTACAATTCTGAAAGTAAGTGTTTATCTAGGCAAAGCATTAAGCGAAGTAGACGATGATGGTGAAGTAAAAATTGTCTTTTTAAATTCTGTTGACAATACTAGAAAAACATACAAATTAGTTTAAAATGATATATCATATGAACAATATGAGAGTTTCATAAGAGTTGTTTCAGTACCTAAAAAGTAAATAAAGGCAAAAGGGTATATTACCAGTTCCATACTCCACTAGAGATATTTGAAAAATAAGTTATCAGCTTAGGTTTAATTTGATCTCAATAAGATTTTTTAGCTTTTTCCCCTTAAGTTTTATAATCTAATTAAGTTTCTAAACTTCTTAAAACAGTTCATAGCCAAAAATATTGTTTTTTGTGATAGTAGTTCATAAATTTGTTGCGAATAGTACAACTATGTTATTGTTCCTACAACTTTGTTACTTTTGTGTCCCTAAATATATAAGAGTAATGTCTCGAATTTTATGAAAAGCTGACACCTGACTCTATGCATTGTTTATTAATTATATAATATAATAATAATAAAATGAAATATAATCATCATTATATTTTAATAATTTAATTCAATTTACATAGTTTATAGTGAAAATTTGATCATTAAAACAAAGGAAGTAACAGAGTATATTTAACTTCCATTACTGTTCCTACTTAAGAAGAACTATTGTGTAATTTTGCATGTTGAACATGAGAGTAAAGACTTAATTAATGTTCATAACAAAGAATGTTTCTAAAAATAATTGTTTGTTGTTTAAATGTGAATAAATATATGATGGTAACAGAGTTGTAATTTTTTTTACCCTGCACTAGTAAATTCCTTGAAAATCTAAAAATAGTGGCAAGACATCATGCCCAACCACGATATTGCATTTAACAATGATATCTACATAGCATAAATACCTATACAACTAAGTTAAACAGAATTTTATTTTCTTTTGTTTTCGAAATTTACAGTCACATTTTCTGCCACCGATTTTAAATTGACCCAAGGCCTATAAATAATTGTGCCGGGGGTTGTTTGTCCTCATCCAATTTATGTTTGTAAACTGCCTCCACAAAGAGGAGAAAATCCTAGTTTGGATAAGGTTTTTTTTTAAAATAAAAGATAACTTTTTTTTTAAAGTTTATATCTTTTGTTTTTTTATGGTTGAGAAGTAATGGAAAAATAGGTTACGTCGCATACCCTTATAAATCACCACTCAATCTGCTACCACCGTTTGTTAACTAGATAATATTTTCACTGTAGTATGACAAAAGCCACACAAAAGTAAAAAATGTAGATAGTAACAAAAGAAAGATTAACTAACCTTATCACATTCCTCATTTACATACATCACTGCAGATTTGACTAGCCTCTTTCCAAAATTATCAATGAATGATGATTTCTTAAAATGTTTAGTGCACAACATTAAATGCCTAGAATGAAGATTGTTTTGAAATTCTGGTGACCACCAAGATTCATGAGGAAACAGTACTTCGCCCATAATTCCCATCTGAAAAAATACAATTAGATAGTAATATACTACTGAGGTGCTAAAAACGTGCTTGAAAGGAGAGTGCAATACAAGAAGATTGTTCCTTTCAAACAATGTGATTGTATTGTATACATATATAAATATTATTCCACAAGTTATTTCTATGTATACCAATACATCTAGAACTTTTTATTATGTTATGATTTCTATGTGATAAACCTCATGCTGTTCTGCATAATTTCTCTAATTTTCAGATTTATTTGCACACGTTTTTAAATCGCTTAATATGTATCTTAGGTTTTATTAGCTGATGCGGCCCATAATAATTTTTATTTCTGCTACTTTATTAATTCAGTGGTTCAAATTTAAACATTTTAAAACTGTTTTAATCAGTAATCAAAAAGCTATTTAACATACGTACCGTACGCTATTTGTTCTCCCAGGCTTAGGAAAACGATGCAAGGTGATGTTACGATCATGAGCAGGAGAACATCCACACTTGTAACATTTCCTTTCGTTTACTTTCATGATGAAAGATAAAATTGAGTCTCTGTCTCTTTAGCACAATGCACAGCACTTGTTTTTGAGTCTCTTTCTCACTGTAAACACTAAAACGGAGGAACGGGATGTTCAACTCAACGTTAGTAATGTAAGAAATAAGTTTATATCGAAAGATAAACTTAATTTGCAACACAAATAAACAAGAACGAAACGGCAAGCGGCAAGCGCAACGGATCTGCCATTTGTAATTTTGTTTATTTGCCGTTGCCATAACTTGCCTTTTTATTATAGTATGCAGTTTCATATTTATACATTTTGTTACTTCAATAAAGACGTAATAAATATATGTTTAACGAAATATATTATATAATAAAGTATTATAATTATTAAATAAAAAAATGATTAAAATGATGTGTCATTTAAAATAATATTTCTTTCATGGCAATATAACATAACGTGCGAGGGAGATAGATATTATTCCATCTCGCTTCTTTAAAGCCCCCCAAGGTCATCTCCCGGTGCCAATCTGCTATTAGGAAGTTGACCGGCCCTGGCCAGTCCAGCGTACTTGTATGTATAAAGGTCAGTGCATTTATTAGCTAAGAAATGTTAGAATGTTTCTTTTTTATTATACTTTACACTGTAATAATTATAGCACAAATTTCTTTGTAACGTCAGAAGAAATGTGTGCTATATTTATTCATGTGTGTATCATGCTGTACTTATGTTTCCAAAAAATACTAAATGTACCTTCTTACAACAATCAATAATATTTGTATTCACCAAATGCCATTTTTTTCTCGCTAGATCACAACTACCAATAAATCGATTACGAACGTATTACCCATTTTGCTCTCTACCCTCTCAAGATATTATCCATCATTAATTAATTAGGTAATTACAGCCTATTAAAAGTCTACTGCTGAACGTAGGAGGAATATTTGCCATAGTTCCTTCTTTTAGCAAGTGGTTTAGCAACCACGATTTTTTTATTATTTTGAATTGTTATCACGAAGATAATCTTAACTATCTCCTGTTTCATTTTCCTATGTCATCTTTTACTATACTTACGGCATGGTATGGGGTCTTACAGCTTCTAAGTAATAATATGTAACATTTGGTAGGAGGTAGTGGTTTATTTTACGCCGCCGCTACACGGCATTATCAAGATTCTGTTTCATAATTCCTGATCCATATTCGAAATCTTTATTGAATATAGTCAATGGTTTTCCGCTAAGCAAGCGGTAAATCTAAATAAATTATCACTTGCCGTATGTATGAAAGATCATCACTCGAGAACAGCTGGATTGAATTTGATGAAAATTCAGTCACAATTGGACGCGGTAAGTAACGCCGTTGTCTATATCTAGACAATAGTCGTACGAAGCCGCGGCGGATAGTTAGTCAGCATATAAAATTGGGATTACAAATGGGATACAATTCGTTTATGTACCATGTGTCTATCAAGACTTAGTATGCATACCTTGCTAACTATTAATTTTTAAAGTTTGCGAAACAAATATTTGCAATGTTATATCATAATCACCATCACTTGATTTATAAAACAATTTACTTGATCGTTCGAATAATAATAATAAGTCAAGTCCTATTTTCATTATAATTTTAGACATACATATAATAATGTAAATAACTTATAGAAACGAGTATATCAATATCGATTGTTGTTAACATTGCAAACAAAACCACATAGCATAAATTAATGATAAGTCATCGCGCGCTCTGACTAGATACCGACGGCGCTCATGTAAAATGCGGCAACAAATACTACGCCGAAATCGGCGTACCCGAACCAGTCGCGTTACAGGCAACGTGTGAGGTGAACGTACCGAATGTTTTATTAAATTTTGATCATAATCCGAAGTAAAATACCAGTTTACGTATTAAAACTGTGTTAAAATAATACTACAAGAAATAAGAAAGACACTGGTATCACATACTATCATTAAGTATCATACAATTACGAAATTTTAACATAAAATAACACGAGCCATAAATAAGTCACAAAATATCAATGACGCTATTCAGTGTTGCCGCGAATGCAAAAATAAAGTTCCCCGTGGCTGAGATTTTTATATATGAATTTATTGTTACTATATTTTATAATATAATATATTTAACTTATTATAATATAACCTGATTCTATATTATTTAATGTTTATTTCTGTAGTATTGCTCAAATGACATAATTGCCGTTTATTAGGGTTCCGTACCCAAAGAGTATCAACGGGACCCAAAAGGACCCAAAAAAATCACGTTTCTTGTATGAAGACCATACAAGAAATGTGATTTTTTTCTGTATTGATATGTGTTTTGTTTACAAACTAAAGCGAAACCTGGATTAACACGCAATAAAATGATGCTGTGTGTATGGTGGGATTGAAAGTTTATCATGATTATATATTGGAATTAGAACTAATTGTTAAACTAATTATGATTTACGGAAAAAAAGCGCACATAGACGAATATGCAGTGTTTCCGATGCATGTATAAACTATTCGTTGGTCAGGCCAGGCAAAAAAAAGTTATAAAACAAATTGGGCATTGTATCAAAAAGACTATCATAATTCATGGCGTATCGGCCAAAATTTTCTACAAAAAACTATTTTTTATTATTATTTAATTAGATTTGTAAACCACATTCTCGATTATTTTTACCTTCCGTCCCGATATTTAGCCTATTGTGCCTGGCAACACTAATATACATATAATATAGGAGAAATTGGCCTAAAGGTCTAGATACCAGACCATAAACTCCAAAAAAAATATATAGCGGAAAGCGTTAGCACCATGAAGTTATAGATAAAGATGGAGGTTGGAACAACAGCTTGTGTCAAATACCTATGTATCTTTATCTCACTCTCTGTGGTCTGACTTCTCTTTTTAGTGTGGAACACAATATTGCTATGTTTTTATTTGAATCTCCCGATAAATTCTTAGAAATAATTTCCACACTAACTAAATCAGAAGTTAAGCTTTGTAAAATAATGTACCAATAAATAAATAGTTGATCTACAATTAGTTACATTAAAAATTCCAAAATTGAAGGTCTCGTATGCATTATTGGGTTCACGAATCAGTGAATTACAATCCCATTTCCTAAGGGTTTGGTAATGTGGCAACATTAGCCCTATATGTCAACATAAATTAGACAAATATGGCGGTTGTTTACTTAGCAGTTCACAGCGTCTTTTGAGATATTTAAAGTTAATTATTGTTATAATTCAAGAAATGGTGCAAACTTGTGTAGTACGTGGTTGCGGCAGTAGTTGGTGTCCAGGAGGTGATATAAGATTTCACACGTAAGTGTTTAAATAGTGACTTCTGACATTGAATACTTGTAAACAACCTTTTTGTATTTTCACTTAATTTTTGGCTGAAATGTTTTATCCGTGTTTTAAACATATTAGTATATTATAACTTTGTCAAAATCAAATAGTTTTACATTGAATTTAATTAAGTTTGAACAATTTTATTGTTTTTGTTTAACAGAAATCGCACTGAAGTAGTGTGACCATATTGACGATGTATCTGAGACTTTCCGTGTGACCTTAACTAATTATATGTATATGTTTCTTATTATGTTACCGGAAATACATGAAATTTAGGAATTATGTACACTTCCTATATATTCTATATAATGACGGATTTCATAGATTTCATAATATTAAATTAAAAATTAGTAACATAATATATTCTTTTGGTAGACAATTTATTTTTATTTAGTTTTTGTTTCTCATTATTCTGATAGTTTAATAACGTTTATAATAATTATGTATTTAGAAATGTAGTAGTTTAGATGTATGATTTAAAGCAACATTTTGTAAAATATATTATTATTTGCAGACAACAAGTGCATTACATGAAGAGTCTATTGTGCAAATAGCTGCTCTGGCTGTACCAAGCACTAGTTCTGGCATTTATGAAAGTAGTTCTGCACTTAAGGAAACAGAAGTGAAATGTACTGGCTGTAATATTGAAGACCAAACTAGTAAAAAACAATGTCGAAAAATTCTTGAAAATGTATGCAATCTTAACAAATTACCTGTAAGTTTCCTTTTCCTTTATTACTAAATACATACCTTTTATTTGTATTTATTATGACTTTAATATTACATTACATAATGTATTATATAGCTTAAAACACATACATATTTAAACTCTTTAGTGCCAATCTCAGTGTGGTAACCGTCACTACGACACTAAGCATAAAGCTTCTTGTTTGATGCTTCATTTATGCGTGCTCTTGAAGGCGTAAATTTGTACTGACATTATGATGTAGAAGAGTTATTTATATCTTTTTTTTTTTATTAGAGTTCTCCAATCTCTGGAACTATACCAGTCTGATTTGAAAATAATTTTTTGCATTTTCAAAACCTATTCTTCAGGAAGTCTATCTAACATCACGCTACGACCCTTATGAGCGGAGCAATACGATGTACGATGCTAAAAATACTGATTTCATAAAGTTTTCTTATTTTCTTAGGTCAGCAGTGAATACGACGATCCCGCGAAGATTGATAGGGGCGTGCAAGTGAAAATAAAGTGTACTAAAGAAGAAATACTTGAGACGAAAACTAAGATTCTTAAGCAAAAAGTGGCGTGCCAAACTAAAAAATTCAGGATAGGTCTTCTTTAATGGACATATTAAAAAGTATATGGGGTCAGCCAGAAATTGAAAATATTATTCAAGGGCGCTTTGTTCATATCTGTAAGGAATTCAAAAAGCCACAGAGTAATCCACATGGTGTAAAAAATTTCAATAAATAATTTTAATATGGAAAGTGTTTTTATTTATTTTTTTAAGGTTTTTAACAAACCATGTAGTGGCGTTGTGAGAATATCCACTACCCCATATCGTTCCGAGGGTGTTGTATGAGGTGTCAGAGGGAAAATGAAACAGGAGATGGGCAGCGGCATCTTCCTGATAACAACTCAAAATAATAATATATTATCATTCCTATTATAGTATAGAAATCTATGAAATCCGTTATTATATAGAATTCCTAGGAATTGTAGATAATTCTTAAAATGAACTGGATGTGTGGAATATAGTATTATACACATTTCAGCTCAGAGCAGCCTGACTCGGATGGGTTAGGTCAGAAGGCTAAGGCAGGAGCTCCGCTACGCTGCTTTAGTCCTCGTGATATTTTTTTAAAATAATTGTCCAAAAATAGATTTAGTCTGTCTGAACAATAAATCAGGTATATTTTGTCCAATTCATTGATCACCCGGGGTTATAATAAATTTTAATTTCATATTTCGTTGGTACCGTTTAGGAATTGTATACGATAACCAGAAAATACATTATCGAAATGGTAGTTATAAAATATTCTCTGATATATTTATTTTCCACATTTTCTAAATAGACTCGGCATTATATGGGTTGTGACGAAAATGCTTGGTCATATTTTAATACCGATTCTGCCCATGGAAATGAAAACCTTTCTTCATAAAACTAGTCAATTTCCAAAAAAAATTGTCAAAAATATATAATCTATATAGGCTAGGTCTTAGTAGTAAACAGAG